TATCTCCTACACCAAGTTAACAGTTGATGTTCAAAATTACTATCATAGGTTCAGCCAACTGATAGTCTGTGCCTTCCTTTACTGCCAACCATCCTTCTCAGTCACTTATGGCTGTCCAGCTCTATTCTTATTTTGTATGCATGCTGATTTTGTATTTCTTCTATACACAGAAATAATGAAAATAAAAACCTTTGGAGGGTTTAAAAGGAGTTTCAATCTCCTCCTCCTCCTTTTCACTGTCTTCTGTCCAGTCTATAGCACTTTTGTTTGTGGTCATGCCACAATTATTTACACTGCTGCTGGATGGTTTTGTCTGTAAAAGTTCCGGGGATATGTAAGACTGCTTAATATCATCATCATCCACTTCATCCTCTGAACTGAATGGAGGTGTTCTAAAACAACAACAAAAAAACAACAGATGGGTTATTTAAGAACTTTGAAACCTTGAGCTTTCTGGGTTTTCCCTAGGAAATGTATGTATATTTTTTATTTGAAAATAATGGTGTATCATATCACCTAAAAATGCACAAACAATATATTAAAGAAACTTCAAGTAACTAATAAACTGGTATCTCAAATGAACTCTCTTATACCTTCTACCTATATAACAAAAGCCAAATAATAAATTAGCCACCCAGATCAACAAGTGTAAGCTTTTGTGAATCAGGACGGAAAGCAAGAGTTCAGAATCAAGACACCCTAACAAAAAAATTCTGCTACTTAAAAAAAAAAAAAAAAATCTAGGGACTAGTTGCAGAAGCTTCCCAATCTATCCCACTTGTTCAGCTGGTGATAATGAAAAAAACATTTCTAATATAACCAGTACCCAAGTAATTTATGATTTTACAAATAAAACTAATATCCTGAATGCCACCCAGGAAAACATATAGTACAGTTTATAGAATATAGGTGTAATATGTTGCACATGACTCACATGAAATATTGTTTAATTCTGTGCATATTTATACAGCTGTAAAGTCTTGAAAAATAAAGATTTTAACAAGGCAAGAGAAAATCTAGGGCAGGCTAAAAAAAACCTTATATTTATGTCCCTGTCACTAAAGACTAAGTACTATAGATATACCAGATCAAATGAGAATGTTGGATTAGCAATTATGACAACAAACTCAGAAATAAATGTATTTTAGAATAAATTATAAAAATATGGTTCATAAAATGCTTGTGATTTTAGCTTAGTAATAGGTTTTCACAACCTAAATCTATCAGCATCTAAGCAAGCTCAGATCACTGAAAAACATTCTCTTCAAAACCAGAAGTGAGCAAAACTTACGCAATACTAGATGTTCTTCTGGAAACTCCATCTCTAAGAACATGCTTCCTGGGTCTGTAAGAAATAAAACAAGTTATTTTTAACTTCCTTTGTCCACTATACATGCAGTGAGAACTGTATGCCTTTATATATAGGAATAGGCATTCTGTGATAATTCCTATTAACGTTAGTCAGAAATAGGCATATCAGTTCTCTTGTACATGAAAAGAACAAATTTGTAATATTTTTAGGAGAATGATATTTGAGTTAACTGTGGCATGAGTGCTAAGAAAATGCTAAATCTTACTTTGGTGTAGATGTGTTTTCAGCAACAGACATTTTTTGTCCAGCTGGGTGTACAGTTTTAGAAGTCCATTTTACAGGTTTTTCTAATGATGTTGATAAGGTAGTTCCTAACTGAATCAACCTCTGTTTATCTACAAAATAAAATATCAATCTCAACATTAGAAGGTCATCGTTAGCGAGGAACAAGTGGAATACACCTATGGAAAAGATGAAAAAATTAAACTTCTCTGAAAACTAGGCATGAATTTTGCCCAGTTTCAGAAAGAGGATCATTTCTGAAAATAAATGAAAAGTATAGAACTATTCAAGCAATGTCATTTAGAGGCAGCAAAAATACAGCATGAAAGATCTGCATAAAAGATTATAAAGGTAGTCATTTATGGGGTAGCCATAAATAACTATACCCCCTTTACTTACTTAATAACATAGACCCTTTACTTTGAGAATGAAATATATGCACTATAATTATATTGGGTTTCAAAAACAAGTACAAAAACAAAATCCTGATAGTAGTAAAATAAAATTATTTAACCTTCTGAAGAACGATGGGGAATGGAAACAAGTCTACTACAAGATGATGATGATCTCTCTTCAATTCTGAAGCTGATCTGACGTTCAAGGTTTTCCCGGATTAGTTGCATGTCAGGCATCTGTTTCTCTTTCTCTTCTCTAGCAGATTCAATAGCAAGTAAAATTCTATTTAAATGGTCACTTGGGATACCACGAACACCCTGCAGAAAATAACACATTGCTATTTCATGTACATCATGTTTAATATACTTAAGCCTGTCTTGATCAACAGAGGCAGCAAGCTGGGGGAAGGACTTAATGCAGACTGGGCAGCCAAAATGGCATGAGTTCCAGGGGTTGGGGAGTAGTGCTGGACCATGCCCAAGGGTGGGGCAGGGCTGGACTCCTGCCTCCTGCTGCAGGCTTCCCCTGGGTCCTACTGCCCCTGTCTCCTGTCATCTTTGACAGGCAGCCAGGAGCAGATAAATATTTTCTAAATTTTTTAGGGATCCAGCAGGTTGAATAGAATGGCCTGGCAGGCCGAATCTGGCCTGTGGGCTGTATTTTGCCCACCCCTGCTCTAGCCTGACACCAGGCACCCCCTGGCCTTCAGCCCTCCAAAGTGGTTGCAACTTCCACATAGCTATTGCCAGCAGCTTCTCCCCTGACAAAGGGGACCTGGGATTAGCTTTGAATGGATTTCCAAGACACTGGCCTTCTATATTCTGATGTACTCCTGCCACTGCTCATCATTCCCTGGGTCTAGCACAATCCTCTCCCTACCAGTCTGCATTTTTTCGTGTATCAAGGGAGAGGAGATTAACGTCATATATCTTGACTTCAAAAAAGCCTTCGATCTGGTATCCCATGATCACCTCTTGGCAAAACTGGCCAACTGCGGCCTCAGGTCCAC